TCGCGTCACGCTACTGGGCGCATTCAAATTCGGCCTGAGGCTTGGAATTGAAACCATGCCCTCCAAATCGGCGTCTCGCATCAGTACGAGGCAGATTTGAATCGCGAACTACGTAAACCCTTGATGGTCCATGGTTAACGGATCGTAGTGAATGTGGGAGTGCCAGTGCCGCATTGGTAACATTCTAGCTAATAGAGCTCCGAATGCATCAGTCTTGATCAACCTGGGGGCACTCAGTGTTCGATTAAAAGCCCATGCTTGGTAATGAAATGTTCTTCTATGATGGAAACTAGCAGAACCCGTCGCTTCACTCTGGAGTTCTCTAGCTCGTAGTTGACAGGTGAGGAATCGATTAAGCCTTGAGGATGAGTCAAATCATCAGATGGCTAATAGGTTACAATCCATCTCAGAGTCTGAGACTCAGACGACACTTGCGACACAACCCCAGTATATGGTGAAAATGTGCACTTTTATCTGCACTCGCGTGGAAGTGCGCCCTTGGGTTAGAAACAGGACCCGACACGTGGATTCAAGTTCTTAGCAGTGTGGTAAAATATGCACATTGTCAAATGTAAAATTTTGAGGAAATTTTGGGAAATATTCAACTACTTTTCTACTCGGATTCATACATGAACTTCTATAATTAGTGAGGAAACTCCTAAGCGCCGTTGAGGAAACCAAAGGCATATATTCCGCACTGGTTCTTGGTGGTACCCCCTGGGGCATTGATATACTTTAATAATACACACTTTTTCGCCAAGTCTGGGAAGGCCTACCTTCCCCTCTGTTGGACTTAGCCCCTGGGGTGTCTCGTAATCGGGGATAGCTGCCCACTGATCTTGGAATTTGGGAGAATGACGGTTGATGCGAAATTTAATATTGCAATGAGAATCGAGGAATTTCCTCAACTCCTCGCAAGCCCGTAATGGGTTTGAGTGAACGTAGAGGAAGAGTGTGTTGTGATAGAACCGAGTACAGTAAGCAATTCTGTGCATACGTACTCCTTCGTCTGGGCGCTGTACGTAAGAACACGGCACGCGTAAACACAGTGCTATCTTCGCCTTGCGATCAGTACCATTGGTTTTGCTAGCGTACACTGTACCTCGGAGGTACAATGTGAATCCTGTGTGATTGGAAAGTTTCCAAATTTGTTGATAAGTTGTATAAGCCGTCAGGATAGGTTCTAGCGCGGCGCGCTGCATCGCTCCGCTTTTTTCGATTAGGAGCAGCAGGTCCTTACGCTCCTTAAAGGCGTACAGTACGCGCCATCTAGAGACCGACAATACGTGTGCAGAGGTAACTTTTTCTACAGAGCGATTTTCAAGCTAAAATTTCGAATATAAGCCCCTCTTATATAGTTATATTGCACCTTAAGAGTAGGAATTTCTTACGCCCCTTAGAAATGAAAAGTTATAAGGAAGCACTTCTTAAGTAAGGAGCGTAAGGAAGAAGCGCCTTAAGCAGCAGTTCCTAGGTTATAGGCCCACTGTATTGGAGACGTAGTAGCTGTTGCGTAACTCCATTATAAATATGCAGCCTGTGGGATTCGAACCCGAGTCACTTCCCTTGGTCGGGTATGCTGCTGAGAATGGAATGTCTGACATGCAGTGTGGGAAAATATGCACATGGTGGACCACATATGTTGGTGACAATATGGAATCTCTGAGGAAATTTTGCAAAATGCTTGTTGGTTCCTGTACATTTCTACCCTAGTTCGCATATGGACTCCTATAATGAGTGAGGAAACTCCTACGGTCAGCTGAGGAAAGCGATCATATATTACAACGCTGCTGACATGAGTGATGAAGCGTAGTGATGGTATAAGCCAGATAGTACCGATAATAAAGAGTAAACATACTATTTTGGTTGTTTATGATTGTTATTTTTTCTCTGAAATGCGGTCGCTTTGTGTTGACAGTTGTCGTCCTTTTTTGTGTGGGGAAAAGCTAAAGTAGGCTTGCTTCTAGCTAGTACAGATTGACCCCATATCCTTTAGTGAATGCATTGGTCAAAGATGTTGTCATGTGCATGCGTGCAAGTGGTCGATATTGATTTTTATATTCTCAGTTATTGTTAGTAATAGATTTATCATAATGGACACTGCCTATTATAATCGTCCTGTTGAAGCAAAGTTGGACAAGGCGCCGAGAAGAGATCCTCCGACCCCTCGAAAGGAGCAGGTTCACACTGAGCTCAGACATCCTACTACTAAGCAGGTTGACAACTACAAGAAAGAAGGCGTTTTGGGTGACGCTGTTGGTGCTAGAAAGCGCCTTGAGAATCAGTGAAGATGAGAAATGCTGATGGTGTAGTGGCTCTGGTCACTAAATGCTGTTATGAATATTATTATCAGTATATGATTTAGTGATTGTTCCGGAAGAACTATTCACGACGAACAATACTTCGCTTGTTTGAGTGATGATTCATTTCGAAAGGCTTACTAGTTGAGTTATGAAGTGGTTGGTGGTGGAGTAAAAATTATAAGGAATTGCTGATGAAATTCCAATAGCAGTGAATTGGGTTTATTGCACTGTCCTGATCAGTTTTCCTTTCTTGCGCGAGTTACGGTATGTGTTCGGCATTTGTCGCGTGAAATATGTTCATCGAAATTCGGTAGTTTTTTATGAGGAGAAGTTGTTTGAAGTATCGAAAAGTTATATAAAATGTCAGTAGAAGATCAGCATTATCACTACGCTGGTGAACCTTCTGAAGGCCCCCCAGCTCATTCGAGACGACCTCATCATCGTCGTCATCCACATCGACATCATCAACAACCACCTGCTACTGTTATCGTTCCTGAACCCACCAGCAGCAGTGCTCATTCAGAAGACGAAGCAGTGCCTGAGCTGCAGCGAACTGAGGAGGGAAAGCACATGGAGAGTGTAAGGGAAGGTAGATTCATCGTGTAGTGATGTTCTTTTTTTAGGAGGTTCCTGAAGAAGACCCGGCGGAAAAGTTTATGAAGTCGTTTTCTATGTTGAGTGCGAAAACTTTAGGGCAATTAGATCAGCTCGAGGCGGCACTTCACGCTGTTGAGAAGGAGGCAAGCATTCGGGGTGTTGGAGTGAATGTTGGCTTTCCTCAGCTGAGTTAGAGTTACACTATGAAGATTTGAATACGACTTGGGGTAGTAGAAGTGTACGGAAAAATAATGGAAATTTGATGAAATTCCTTTTGGAACCATGTGCATATTATATATGGTTTATTGCATTGACCATCTATTATGTCGTTCGTCTGTTATGATGAGTATCCATAGGTGACCGAAACTGAGCAGGATCTGATCTCGGGGGAAATGTCCATTGGGAAAGCAAAAGACGATTTGGCCCAAATTGAAGCAAGGTATGATGTGAATTATTTTCAGAATTCGATACCACTCGTCGAGTCTTGGGATATACGCTTGATCGCCTCTCTTGAGCTGGCGAGTCTCCTCACTACTTATAGGAGTTGAACTTTCCGGGAATAAAAAAAATCTCTCAAAATTTCCTTATTTTCACCGACACATGTAGTCCCATACTGTTCAGATTGGACAAGCTGCAGTTTAACGGCATCGACTCGGTCGAGACTGTTGACCTGCACTCTGGTGAGTGTGGATTCGGGGAGGACTTTCGTTGACTTGTGTGAGTGTCAGGGAAAGAGCCGGCTAAAGCGGCTCGAAAAGAGTTAGTTCGACAAGCTGAGAAACTGAGTGCTCGAATAGATAAGATTTTTAAACAGATTAAGGAGGCTGAAAAAAGTGGGTAGCCTCCTACCGTCAAATACTATTTAATCGCAGAATGTTCATTTCAAACACCGTTTCGAACGTAGTTGTTTTTTGTTATCAATTACACTATGAACATTTTGTGGCTTTGGAAACTCACGAGCTCAACTGAGGAAACCAAAAAAATTACCAGTCTCTTGCTCGGCCGAGATATGACTTCATCATCATCAAAGCGGCAATACTCGTGTGTGATTATCTGCTGTTTTCATATGATTCTTCCCTGGGCTTTGTTTGATTTAGTGTGTATAAGGATTAGGGTTATGCTCATAGGAATAGACGATAGTCGATGGTGAGTGTGTAGCCTTTCAAGGAGGAGGCTACGCAGTGGGTTAACGGGAGCAAAGAGGGTCTTGGTTGAAAGTAGTATTAGTTCGGGGAGGTGTGGTATGGGCACACGAGTCGGTAAGGAATGCCGAATTTCCATGTTGTTGCGGTGATTTGTTCATACCGTAAAATAAGAACGTCATAGCAACTCCCACGTGATCATTTCAGTTCCTCAAACCAGGGCAAAGACTTCCTGAGTGATAGAGGCTCGGTTTATGCAGTTATCGATCACATCAGTGTTTCATAGGGATGATTAGGTCCATACCATTCAGAAAGATGAGGGATGATGACGCAATTTTATGCGATATTTTCTCAAGTGAAATACTAGTGTGAAGGTCTTCTAGTAGTAGTAGTAGTAGTACTAGTAGTAGTAGTAGTAATAGTAGTAGTACTCGATCACTGTTCACAGAACAACATGGAAATTCGAAGTGATTTGCCTGACTCGAGTAATTCGAGTTTACTCACAGTGTGTTCGAAATACTACGTTGGGCCGGTTGCCCTACTGAGCTGACGGATGTGATTAAACGACTGTATGTTGGATCGAAAATATCTCTGCGTATTGATAGTAATGGCAGATTTGGCACACCTTTCCAGCAGGGAATGGGAGTGAGACAAGGATCTTGCCTGAGCCCGGCAATTTTCGTACTCATCCTTGACTTTTGTATGAGGGCATTTCAGTCGGCTTGTGTGGAGCTTGGAATAAAAATGAAATGGGCGGCGTACGCAGATGATCTACAGATTATAACAGACGATGTTGAAACTGCGGAACGGGCATTGTGGGAGCTTCAGGCTGCGGCAGCTCTAGTAGGGTTGAAAGTGAATGCATCCAAAACGGAGATTATGGCTAGGAGAGTAGGAGGGAAGGTGAAGAAGATAGAGGATTCTGGTAGGGAGGAAAGGGTCACTGTGAAATGGGACGACGGTGATTATCTGGGATGGAAGAGGTGTATTTCCATCGAAGAGAATCGGAACAGATCTTTCCAACCTACGCATACGATACATTATGATGATGGCGAGATAGTTGAGTATGTGATCAAGAAGGCTGGGTGGGCCACGGATGAGGATGGAGATAAACATCGAGTTAAGAGTTTGGGATTTGAGAGAAATATCCAGGGGGGTGATCAATGGCAATGTGAATCCTGCCTAAGTACGTTTAAATCTGCTAAAGGTCTACAGATCCATACGAGAAGAGGATGTAAACGAATGCAGGAAATGACTGTCGAGGATATGGTCAAATTGAAGAAGAGCCGTATGGTGGCAAGGGCGGCACGAGGAGAATTTGTACAGGAGGTTGAGGACGTGGTTGTGAGAACATTAGAGGGCGAAAGTATAGTTGCAGTGAGTTCAGTCCTGTATTTGGGAACAGTGATTTCGAGAGACGGCCGAGTCGGTCAGGAGATATCACGACGTATTGGAAAGTCTGCAGAGGCGTTTCGGTCGTTGAACAAGATATGGGGAGCGAGAGATGTCTCCTTAGGGTTAAAGAAGAGAATTCTCCAAACTTGTGTCGTTTCGATTCTGTTATATAATACAGAGGTATGGGCTTACCGTGCCAAGGATATCGGAAAGTTACAGTCATTTCACAACCGGTGTATACGCAATATCATACGAATGCATGAAGACCCACAGAGATGGAATATCTCGCACAGTGATGTAACCAATTGGTTGGGAGGTAATTCGATTGCCAGACTCATAGCTCAAAAGAGATTGAGCTGGATTGGTCACTCTTTGAGAAGGAAGTGTGGTGATCCAATGCGCGAATGGATAGATTCCGAGTTTGAGGAAGAGAGTGGATGGATCGAGAGGGTGAAATACGAGTTTATAGAGCGGGGGGGTCGTTGGGATAGTATTAGAGAAGCTGCTATGGATCGGAAATTGTGGAAGAGGATTGTAAATGCGACTAGTAGCTCGCACGTTCGTCCAGATGAACTATGCGGGAATGAATGAGTAGTAGTAGTAGTAGTAGTAGTAGTAGTAGTAGTAGTAGTAGGAGTAGTAGTAGTAGTAGTAGTAGTAGTAGTAGTAGTAGTAGTAGTAGTAGTAGTAGTAGTAGTAGTAGTTATTCAGGCACCTGTTTCAACACTACGTTTTTCTTTTGGATTTTTTCTACGGGTCGTCGAGATGATTTCAAGGAGGAGCTCATCTTTGCTGGTATCATTTCATTCTCGGAGTTCAATCTGCATGTTAATTGACAATTGACATATGTCTTCTAGAAAGGGTGAAATAGGTAAGGAATTAAGGAACCCCAGAGGTCATCCGCATTGTGTATGTGGGAGGCGGGGTCACGAGTCGGTGATGTTATCAAGAGCATCGAGGGACGTTGGTCTGATTCGTCCATGGTGTCGATTAAAGTGTAGAGGCCTAGTGGGAGTGTCTAACAGAGTTGGAGGTCCATCGTGATGAGAAGGTGTCCACTACAACTGTGGTAAATAGTTTCTCAAGGACGGATTTAACGTTATTGTGTTTTTACGAGTGGAATAACAGCAGTGTATACACTACTCTAATGAGATCTGTACAGTGGTATGGGAGACTTCATATCTTTGAAAACTTGCACTGCATCATCATCAAGTCACTTAGCAACTCACGAGAGATCCAAGACAACATCCAAGGACGCGGAATCGAAGCCTCTGATTGTGAAATCGAGAGCTCTATTGAAGAACTGAAAAGTGTAGAAACGAAGTAGATCTGTCTGTTTCACATGTGTAGATTTAACATTGAGAATTCCCACAAACTTGAACATGGTTACAACTGAAAATCTTTGGTACGTGTAAGTTTAAAAGATCCATCTACGACAACTTGAATTCGTTCATCCCTGTTCATGCGATTTCTACAAACTCTCATATAATAATATATAATCACTTAGGGAAGCAACACCATACCGAACTAGCAAGCCTTCCACCACCGGAGTGATTAGAGTAAAAACTAAATCACTCCTCTTCACCAGAGAGCTTGAGCAAGATCTATTACGATGACTTTAACCGACTCATTACGTTATACATGCGTAATCAACAAATGTATAATACGCTAGAGCATCGAATTGAAGATCTTATGTCGGCTTGTGAAACGCTAAGGCTAGGGAGGCTAGGAATCAGCGATCCCATTATAGCGATAAAGCTCATTATAAAAGTATCCAATTGAGTGTTATGGAGAACGCATAATCCTTATTCAGTTTGTTGCCTATATTCAATGGTGCGTTTTGCAAGTATTCTATATTTCGCTCTATCGGCTGGTGTTGCATTCGCTCACGACGTGGACTATTGCGAGCAACTGTGCCAAAGCATCGATTCCTGTGAGTCTTCTAAGCAAGGCTCTTATTGCAAGAGTGATGGATCGTGCTTTGGTATGTATCATGATGGTTTTGGTTATGAATATCAACCAGCAAATGCAGCTGGTATGGAACCAGTGTATTGCCCTATGGTTGAGCATGCACCTGGCAAGGTAGGAGACAGTCGCTCTTGTGTCGAAGTGATATCTTCTTGTTGTTGTTAGGTTCTCATCATCTACACTGGTGGTACTATAGGCATGCAGCCTTACCCTAATGGTACACTACATCCAGTCCCGGGATACCTTACTGACCAGATCAACAATATGGAGGAGTTACAGCAGCCTGGCATGCCTGAGTTTACTGTCCTCGAGTATGAAAATTTGATTGATAGTTCCGATGCTACTCCTGAGAATTGGGTCACCATGGCTAAAGTAAGGTGTACACCCTCGGTCTTGCCATTTGAATGCCTCGGTTTTTAGACTATCGAAGATAACTATGATGATTATGATGGTTTTGTTATTCTGCACGGCACGGATTCGATGGCCTACACTACGAGCGCATTGTCTCTCATGCTTGAAAACTTGTCGAAGAGTGTTGTTGTCACTGGTTCCATTTTACCATTTATTGACCCTCACAGCGATGCCAAGAGGAACATCGTTGTTTCTGTTATGTTCGCTGGTAGGCTAGAATGAGTTTTTGCCATTGTTCCGTAGTTTATATCATCATTCAGGTAAATATACGATACCAGAAGTGTGCCTCTTCTTCGACACAGTTCTCTTGAGAGGCAATAGGGCTACTAAGGTAAGACAAAATGTACAGTTTTCTATGTTTCTATACTGTGTTCAGGTTGATGCTAGTGCTATCGAGGCCTTCGGTTCGCCCAAGGAACGTCCTCTTGCCACCATCGGTGTTGGTATTGACTTCAGTAAGGATCTCCTCCTTCCTGCGCCATCAGCTCCTCTCACCGTACAGACGACAATGGCGGACTCTATCCTCGCTGTGCGCATGGTAAGTGTTGATGGCATTCCTCCTAGTGTATCACTAGTTATCAGATTCCTGGTTTGTCCAGCTTACTCTCCCTTGATGTTAACGACATAAATGGTGTTGTTCTTCTGCTGTACGGCACCGGCAATGCTCCTTCTAACGCGAACTTCCTCTCATGGTTGCAGAAGTACGTTTCGAATCTTTTCGTGATTCTCGTGATTATCATTGTCAGGTTGGATGATGAGCAAATCCCCGTGGTTGTGGTATCCCAAGTTCTTAAGGGTGTTGTTAGCCTCGGTGACTACGCTGCAGGCTCTCAGCTACTCCGTTATGGTGTCATCAGCGGTGGTGACATGACTCCTGAGGCTGCTGTTGCCAAGCTCAGCTATTTCCTGGGCAAGGGGTACACCATTGATGAGATCAAGAGCGAGTTTGGGATGAACTTGGAAGGAGAGATTACTGTGGTAAGTGTTTGGGTCTTTGGCGCTGCTTCTTATTCCTTTAATTCAGAACGAAGTTTCACAAGGGAATCCTTTCGATCCTGTTAACGAGTCGGCCACTGAACTCCTCAGTATTGAAGAACCCAAGATGATTGTCGTCTAATCCACAGACGTTCATGATATGTTTATTTTTTGTAATTACTGTATAACTAGCTATGTTGAACCTAACCACTGAGCCGGTTGTGGCATTCAGTATCTCGCTCTTCAATTTTACCCAAATCCACTATTGAATGCGTTTAGCATTGTTGTGGAATTCTTCTTATGTTTTCTACTTTCACAAGTCGAGATTAATTTTAATGATGATAAGCGTTTTGAGTTGTTCCTATGGTGGCGAATGAGCTTGAACAAACTGACTCGTCATTTGCAGCGAATCCCTGAGCTTTTCACAGATAGTTAACGGCTCGGTGGAGCGATTAAATGTTAAAGGCTCCGAGGATGAGGAATCTGAGGAGTTCTATGCTGGGAATCAATTTCCCAGTAAATTCCTTTCGTATCTCTTCAACTTTTAATTCCAACACGTAAGTATCTCTTGGGTGAACTCAAAAGTACGTGGGGAAAACCAACAAAAGGTGTAGTGATCGTACATTGCATGTCAGTGTGTGATGAGTTTTCATTGGTGTTTGCTCAACATATATGGTCTTGTTCGTTTAAGAGCCCTAATGATGTAAGACTATTGTTACCACTCGTGACAACGCAATACCGACTGACTCTTCCCTGTGAGATAAGTGTTATTGCAGAAATGAGAAACAGCATTTGAGGGACACATCAATCACTCATTGGTATCTTCACTCCTTCAACTATTCTTCCCATGATCTATAACAGAATAATGAGGATTTGGTGAACCTAACTTGATGAGATCAACTTACGCACCAACGACCTGCCCTGCACTTCAGCTTGTGGACTGATCACTTCGGCTTCCTTTTCCATGTCGATATTGTAACTACAGTAATAATAGCGCGATCTGAATCAGTATGAGAGATGCACTCACGTGTCCCAACTAATGAGCACAACAGCTGCAAACACGAGTGCTGAGCCGAGCATATAAACACTTCTGAAACTGTGAAGAGCGAGGATTGTACCTGAGGCCCCACAGAGATGGATGGAACATCCTCATCGAAAGACTCACTATCAACAACCAAGGATAAAGGTATTGTCAATGATAGGCCGACAGCTGCTGATAGTGGCGAAAGTAAAATCACCTAAACGAAGGCTCGCCTCTGTTCCAACAACAGCCGAAGTAGATCGCTGTAGTTTCGACAAGTGTGACAATTATTGTGTTTTCCCTTACACTCTGGCAGATACTGTATATGGTGCCGATCTTCTGACGCTTTCATACTAGACAAAAGTTGAATCATGATGTAGAGTGTTTGAAACGTGAGTGTGCTCATACAGTGGCAGTTTATCATCATCATTATACAAATTTGAATTTGAATCTCCAATCTCAGCACCTACAGCAACTGTGAGCAGATAGTCCGATGCGACACTGCCGAGCACAGCATTGGCCGTCATAGCACCGAATTGGCCCCAGGTCGGCAGGGCCTGAGGAAAAGACTCACAACGACTACCAAGGGGACTTACCAAAGTCTCAAGTCCTGTCATTTGGCACAGGGCTAGCAAAGGGATCTAAGATGATCAATACACTAGATGCCACGAGAGGAGTGTTGTTACTCCCATAACAAAGGCAACAACACCGAACATGCCGAAGACGTACGCCACCATGCGCTCATCAGGTACCTGAGGGTGCTGTATGATGTACCACAGAGCGTGGTATGCTCATACCCAGAGTTTAATGCAGCACGAGAAGAGGCCGTAACAACAGGCTGATGCCAGCGCTAGAGAGTCGCCAAGGATGCTCTCTCGGACCTGTGGGTGTATGGACATTGTCATTCACAGGAGCATACCGCAAAGTCGGTTTTGGGTGACGGTTGATTGAGTGCTGTTATGAGGACTCCGAATACGCAGAGGAGCACTGCAAGGATGGGCACGGCTCTACAGAGAGGATATCCCAAGAGGACCTAACGAACAGCACAAGGTGGTGATGTGTTGGAGGAGTCGACCTACTATGGAGAAGATGAACGTGAATACACTAGAGCAACTGGAAAGGGAACTGTTGGTAGCCACGGAGGTGTACCTAGAGGATATCAATGGAAAGTCAAACGATCCTTCCCTTCATACTTCAGCGATATGTTGTAGGTCAACTGTGAGGCGAACCACATCGCACCTGCAGAAAATGGTTCTTGAATTGTAATAATGCGAGATAGAGTGCTTTATGTGGGTTACCCAACGCCCACACCAGGGTCCCCTTCGGCCACGCTGACCGCCCACCCGCATGATCAGACTCATCGAGCAGGGCCTCCTCCTCCTCCTCGGTTGGGCCCTGTCCTGGTATGTGGATGTATTGGCGGAATGCCAACAACAATACAGAGAGAGTGAGGGAATAGACCTATGATAATGGTCTTGGCAAACAGCATATGGTGTTGATCACCGTGAGGGCCACGGGTTTGTCATAACCACCACTTGTGAAGATAAGCTGAATTATCGCACCCGAAGCTACGAAGAGGACCACGACCAAAGCCATGACCTAAAGATGGTAGTGATGGAGCATTTGAGGGGGGACTTACGGCCAATCCTAGCAGCGTTCTCTTGGTGACATTTCGAATCATGAGAGAAGAACTACACCGACGATGCTGGGAGACACACAAAATATGTAACGCTTCGCTCCGCTAACCTTATTATTGAGAAGCATTGGACTCAAAATTTAGTTGCATTGAAAACGGCACTATGCAGCAACGTCCCATGCTTCCGGAAGGATTCTGTTCTTCGAACTCCACTACACGGAACGCCCATCTTGGACCCACCCCCCTTGGCGATCTCAACAACAACAACGCCATCACTTACCGAAAGACGCCTCAGTCAACCGACTGCAAACCTGCGGTGAATCGATTCCTCCCGTTATATGCCGTAACGTCGATGAGCCCGGCACCAACCTACATTGACGATGAGTCATACAGAATACCACACCTCCCTGAACTGTGCATTGTTGTTGAAGTATCATCTCCATCAGCCACAAAGATACACCACCTTATACGATTCATCGGTAGGTTGATCATTCCACCTGGACTCGTCCATAGTAGCCGTCTCGCTGATGAACATTCTAATCCAACCTCCGCAGAAAGCCGTCATTCACAATACCTTCATGGCATCACAACACGACTCCTTCGAACATGAGAAAAAATGAACATCGGATATATAAGACTCTACTGTCCTCATTAGCACTGTTAAAATGGTGGTCTTCAACAACCGCATGATTGACCTGAAATGCAACTTCAGTTCAATCCACGAAGCCGTCCTCCCACTCTCACTTTTAGCAGCCGCATTGCTGAGCTCATCACCGCTAGTAACTTTGATAGTGTTCGATCCTCCAACTACTGGGTCCTCTTCTGGTATCGATTTGGCAATCTAAAGATGCCAGGTGCCGGGGTCGAACCCTGGACCTCCTCTGCCCTACCTCGGTGAAAATTTCATCGATATCAATGCCACTTTTAGCACTAGTTTCAAAATACTTCAAGCCGAGCTCTTCCGCCAAGGCACTTGCCTCTTCATTGGAAACCTATCCGCAATCAGCTCCTAATCGACAGCGAAGCGAAGCTCCTAACCTGTCGTAAATCTGCCATGTCCGCCTTATTACCGACCAACACTATTTCCACCCCTCCATTTGTACCTACAGTGATAATAATGAATCCAGACTCGCTTCGCTCCGCTGTAAACTTCTAGCCTGGCAACTTGACCAAAAATCGTTCAGCGATGAACTGGATGTCAAATCCTCGGTGCTCATGGTGACATTCGCCTACATATTTACTACCTTTCTCATCGCGTACTTGGTCGACCCAGCTTCTAACAGAATTGAAAGATTCTTTCGAGCTCAGATCGAACACCACAACACATGCCGCAGTATCTCGCAGGTAACTAACAAAGATCAAATGATTCGCAAATTCTTCGCTGTGCGTGAAAGATACTACGCAGGTATCAGAGATCTGAACCTCTCCTGTCCAGCCGTATCCCACAACTGCAGTTTGATCATCCGACCATCGTCAAGTGTGATCACTTTCGCCACAAAATCAATACCTGATCACTGAGCGTCGTAACACTACTTGCTTCGCTCCGCCCTTAATACCGATAGTGGCTTGATAATGCGTATCAAATGCTCCATACAAGAAGCGTGTGATGATACTAGTCTTCCCGACACTTTGATCACCAAGGAAAATGACTTTATGGGAGCTTATTGGTCGCTTCTCACTGGACTGCTCTGATGAATGGCTCGACGACATAACTCAATTGAGAAAACAACTATAATCATCGTACATCACCCAGTAGTGAAGTCAACTCCATAAATAACACGTAAACTCTCTCTCTATAGTACACGTATCATCATTCCTTCTCGGGCTGCAAAACTTTATCTTCTTTTCTGCTACGCTTGGCTTCCCTCCTCTTAGCACCATCCTCAGTCTCCTGTCGCTCCCCAGCGGCCCAACCCTTCCCTTTACGGCGCTCTGCAAAGTCCCGCCACGATTCGCCAGCTGAACCAATACAAGGATCAGATGAGCCGTAACGCTACGCCACTTCGGAAACGACATACAGTGTTCGATCATAGTGTGATGTACCCGCCCAGATGTAGTACCCTTAGCCGGTGGTCGATTGTTCCTTTGCCCCCTCCTCATCTCGCCATTATTATCACCATTCTCCCCTCCTGGGGCTGCCCACCGCTCCGCCTGTCTAACTTGGGCATCCATCATACCTGATACACAGTGGAGTATCGACGATTGATGATGCGCTCAGTGAGAATCGAACCGGGGACCTTTCCCATGAACTCACGTTGTAACTTCTGTTGGTGCTGTCGATCCTTATCGAATGCCACTCCCTCTTCATGATTCCGAGTGTCTACCAGAGCGACCAAGCCTCATCCCACCACCACTACCACACTATCAATTTCGCCCACTTATTCCGAACGCTTTAGCTGCTCTCTCCGCTTGTCGTTGCTGCATTTGAAGGTACCTAACCGACAACCCAGGAATCTACAAAGGCGTTCGCTCCTCCGGGTGAATAGTATTACTCATGCGTCGTCGCCATTTGATCGGCCTCGAGCTCTCCTCCATGGGCCTCGGCCTCGGCCCTCCGCTCATCGAGCTCCTTATATCTGAGCCGCTGATCTGCTCGGAGCCGTCGTGTTGAGGTATTTACTACAGCTTCTGTCTTTCCTTGTCAACCTTCTTCTGGACTATATCCTCCTCCTCTCCGGATTCTAGTAAAGTATCCTGCAGGTCCAGCAACTTCACCTCAATCTCTCTCTTCTGATTGTGATAACTGCCAAAGATATTCTTCGCTGTGCGCATGGAGGAACCGCACTATGAAGATTCGACAAGCACTATATCTCCATTTCGTTCAAGCCAGAGCCTCCCTTACATCAGCTCCGGGTCGGCCTTCTTCGGCTTAGGAGGGGCAGCCGCCTCAGCCTCCCTAAATGGCTTGATGTCGGTCCTCTGAGGTCGGAGGTAGGACTTGTTACGTTGGACCTAATTATTATCGTAACCATGGACGTCTGTTCTGCTGATTGCCAATGCATTACATAACCACTGGTGCCACTCCCTCGGGCTGTCTGCAGGCCTATGCCGTTGTACATTGAAAGCAGCGGCGCAACTTGCAGGAGGGATAACGTGTCTTACCCTTTGGGTTTATCGATTAGCCGGGCGCAAGCTTATAAAAATTCATGAATTCCCACTTCGGATGTCCAGTAGACCTGTCCTGAGTTTCAAGCTTGGATTCCAGATGTAAAATTCGATCCTGTGAGCGCTCTTGAAACTCAGCAGAGATCCATTGAGCACCCATAGAAATATGTGAAAGTTATGAAATCGTATATCTGAGATAGCGGATGGAGGACCACTGATTTCTACTTGCAGTCCTCAAGGAATCCTCAGTGGAGATGGCACGCAACAGGAGGACACTTTGAAGATGAAGACTCGTATTCATATCTTGGTGATCCTCCGTAATGGGGGAATACTGGGAATTATCTTGCATTCACTGATCGAAGCCACAAGGTTGAGCAGTTAGCAACTGGTCGCGTTGGTCTGACAAATCAGCAATAAGATTTGCTCAGATCCCTAACACCCCGAGAAAAGCACTTTCGAGAGAAGCTCTCGCACGCTCATCGAGATCCACATAGGACCTACGACAAATAATATCGTGGCTCACGATGAACTCGGCTGAATCGCGAAGCGCATCATCATGCTATAGTGATTATCGAACATAATGCTAGATGAAGCACAGTAGAAAAAACCGAACACTTTTGCCTCTTCTAAACGAGATAGAATCGCACTTCAGGAGATCTAAGGACATCAGACACCATACGAGATGCACGATATGTGTCTCCGGGGACTATGGACACCACATTCGAGTTTTGGTGTATCGAATTACCTTCAGAGCAAGAAACTACACGTCATTCGATTATTTAAACCGTAGTAGATTTTCGAGCCTTGGTAACCTAGCAACCTTCGTTAACTCATTGTAGGAACCGCATGTGCCCCTAAGGCACCATTCACCTTCCCATATCCCACGCCCCGCATCCACTCTTCCCCTATCCTTCTTCAACTAACTGAGAACTCAATAGTGTAGTTTTAGGTATAGATATTCATCGTTAACAAAATGGAAGGCTCCAGGTCGGTCGTCTGCGCACAGGCAGTGAGATCAACGCACGATGAGCCTAGTATGTAGTGGTTATTATCTCGAAATAATAGTCAATTGAATAGCAACGCACACATGAATAGTCAAGAGATAATCTTCAAATAATAACTAAAATTATACGTCACCTTCTACTTCTTCAAGACCTTCATAGCCACGAAGCCAATGATGGCAAGACCGACAAGACCACCAATGACACCACCGATAATGGCACCAGTATTGCTGTCATCAGATGACGGCGCTGGAGTGGTAGTTGTAACCATAACCAATGGCTCGCTCTCGACCGTCACACTCGACACCTCTACACCGGCCAAGTCCAAGTTACTAGCCATGTTCGTCTCGAGCGCCTGGTTGACATCGGGATTGCTGTCCAGAGCCTCAGCACCCTCTTGATAATCAGCAATAGTCTCCGGAGTAGCTTCGACCTCATAGGTCACATCCAAGTTGAGGTCACCCTCAGCAAGTCGACGGCGTTCACGAAGAGTACGACGGGCTCCCAAAGAGACATCACAGGACATACACGCTGAGCAAACGTCCGTGCAGTAATCTTCGTATGCAGTGATGCCTGCAGCAAAGTCTTGCATGCAAGGAGTAAGCTCACCGAAGGCTGTCTGAGCGATGGACGAGCACACTGCATCACTTATGGTGTTCTTCTTATCCTGGAAGAACTCCTCCTTAGTCTGAGAACCAAGCTCCGCTCTGAAGCCAATCTTGAGCTTTTGACTGAACTTGTTAGCCTTGCGTTTGGTAACGTCAACCTTGTCGGCGTCAGTTGGAATCTTCACACACTTAGCAGTAGCGGCCCATTTCATAGCCCAGGTATCAGTAGCAGAGTCGTAGACATTCCTACAGACGCGGCTCACGGCAGCAGCCTGAGGCACATTCAACTTCGTAGTGTAACCCTCAGCACATGTGGTTCCGCAAACCTCCTGAGGTAGACCAATCGCAGTACAGTTGCTGTCAGCAAGAATCTCGTTGGCCCTGAGCTCGGCCTCTACGAGAGCAGGACAAGTCTTCGGGGTACAGATCGCGTTGTCAGTGAAGGCATTGAATTCGGCACCACCAGCAGTGATATCCTCAGCAGTCGGCTGCTTCTCACGGTATACGAGGTTAGTACAGGACTCGTCCTCGCACGCACAGTACAAGCTTACGCGGTTGTCAGGGTAGGCATTGAAGTGGCCAGTCTTACACTCGGTTGAGCAAGAGTCACCGTACTTGTTAGTGTTCGACACAACACCACACTCTGTGCCGCCGGTAATACCACCAGGCTGGAGGATCTGGTAGGCACGGATCTCAGCGGTGAACGCGGTAGCAATTGCATCAGCACTGCAAGTAAGAGGCTTGCATGCAGAGGTGATTGGACCACCTGCAGTAGGATTTTCGATGTCGAAGGGCTTCAACACGGAGTTTCCGTTCTCGTCGGACATACACTTGAGAGCAGCAGTAGTGCTGTAACCGGGGACACCGCCCAAGTTATAACCGACAGGACACTTGATAGCGCACTTGGAGTTGTAGCGAATTTCACCCTTCATACAGTTCTGAGATATGCTACTATCAGCATCTGAAGTCAAGCTGTCGAAGTCGGTCAAGTCGTAAGCGGTAGCATCAGTAGGAGGACCACAAGGAGGCGAGTCCTCAACACACGTGATGTCGGAAGGTCCATCAGCACAGGATCCCTGATCAGATTCACGGGGGTAGTCCCATGTATAGTCATACTGCGAAGCTTTGCAAGTGAAGCTAAACTCCCGAACATCCTGTGGTTGGCCAGAGACATGATATCCAGGCAAGCACGCGAACGTGACATTCTGTCCGTTGGCAGTCTGGAAGAAGTCCGAGGACTCCGATGAGAAGGCTGGAGTAACATGCTCAGCAGCACAAGTACTGAAGTCCTTGGGACCGGAGATACAGTCCATGCACTGATTGAGAGAGCAAATACTGCTAGTAATCTTGCCACGTGGTGCCAACTCGTCGTTGAAGAACCTACGTGAATACCCAGAGGGAGCACCACCTTCAGCTCTGACGGGCAGACCGGTAAGAGACGCCTCACGGAAGAGAACACTTCTGGACTCGGTCTTCTCGGTGTCACTGCAAGAATCGTCACAGATCTTCCAAGCACCAGGTCCAGTACCGGCATGACTCTGCCTGTACGTAGCCATGGAGAATGTCTTGTTGGAGATATCCGTAGTGTAACCTCCAAGAGCGAGACTGGTTCCCTTGGCATCCCATTGGCGGTTGAAGGAGCCGCACTCGACGCAATGACCACCAGCCACCACAATTCTGTTATCAGGTGTGGCGACGCAGGTACCGAAGGCAGCACGAGGAGTGAAGCCAATGCACTCAGCAACCGTGGAGTCATGAGGCGATGTGCCAGCATAGTCGCAAGTCTCGGAGCCCGAATCAGAAGAGGCCGTCTGGAAGTTCTGACGGAATCTGATAAGTGGGGCTACTCCGAAGGAAGTGCGATCGAGCTTGCTAGTGACATCACCGACGCCGAAGGTGTTCAAGTAGCCATTCACGTCGCGGACAGTGCTGTTGGACAGGCTGACAGTATACTTCTCACCAGGAGCCAACTTGTGACGGATGATAAGATACCTGCCACGTGCCTCAATCTCGGGATCGGATACTTGGTAGGTTCTGCTATTGTAAGCAGAATGGGTAGCAGCCACCTCGATGGTCGCGGTGTCAAGACCCTTGAAGATCTCCCTAGAGAACTCAACTTGAAGAGCGCTATCACGGCTGATGGTGTAGTAGTTAGTAGTTGCCTGGTTGGCGGGATAGAAGCCAACACCAGCACCAGCACCGTACTTCTGGCCGACCGTACTCGCAGGGATAGGGTAGTACGTCTTGAAGGTGAGAGCCTTGCTACCGACGGAACCATTATAGAACCCGGCACTGCAAGCAGATGAGGTGCCATCAGCAGCGCAAGCGTCGCTCTGAGCCTTGTTCTGGACGAAGCGGTTGGGGAGACGGAGGTCGATAGTAGCGAGGCAACCGTCGGCAGAATCCAAGCAAGTGTCGGACGCGGTGAGGCCCTTAGCAATGTCAGAATCAGCAACAGTGACCCTCACATTACCAGAGTCAAATTCGGCCTTGTACTGAGGAGACGTGACAGTCTCGTAAGTACCGTAGAAGAGCGTCAGACCGATGGTGCCATCAGCAGTCGCGACCGGGGCCACAGGCTCAGTGAAGACGAAGTTGAAGCTCTTGTCGAGACCGTTATAGGTAGGTAAGCAGTGAGCTCTGTTGGAGTCACTAGCAGTGGCAGCAGAGCAAGCAGCGATATCCAGATCGGTCTTGAAGTAACCGATCTCTGGGATAGCTACGGAGGCATAAGCGACCTTCGGCAAGCTGGCTGGTGCACTAGCGTCCAAGGTTCGGAATGCAACCTTGAACTCACCAGTGTTCACAGTCGGGGAGTTGTAGTCAGTGACGACACCTCTAGGGATGTAGATCTCGTAGTAGGTACCAGCCTCCAAGTTAGCCTCTGACGAGACTTGGAACCAGGTGATGTTGTTAACCTCATCGGCGATCACGTTGGCGACCGGGATCTTGTAATGAGCACTTGTCAGCCAACCACTCTGGGTCTGAGTCTGAGTGGCAGAACCGTTGTGGATCTCGAAGTACCCAACATGGCTCAAGTTGATGTGCTGGTTGAAGGCAACTTGGAAATTGAGGCAGAACGTTCCCGGAGCGGGGGCACTGCAATCTGCTGCCGTAGGAACCGGTACATCAGTGGCCATATTAGCAGGGAATGTCTTCCTGTCGAGAACGGCGAGAGTAGCCGTAGCATCGGATAGACCTGAGGTGGAGAAGTTGGCGATATTGCAGCCAGCCTCAGTAGCAGCACAAGCCGGAGGAGGGACAGCCGAGCGGTAGGACTCAGTAGCGCTGCCCACGTCACCATAGACGTAAGTCTGATCAGCAATCTTCGGCACAGTGAAGAACGTGAACGAATAATAGGAGTTGCCCTTGCCGTTGTGGTTATCAGCCATATTAGCAGGAGGAGTGTTATCCATAGAGCTCGGGATGAAGCCGTTAGCTGACAGAGTGGCAAAGTACTGATGGCCAGGAACCAATCTCTTGCTTCCAAGTTGGAAGAGAGCAGTTCTGTTGTCAATGAGGATCGAGTCGTTGACAGGAATCCAGATTGCACTAGCCCTGGAGTATCCAAGCTGAGAAGTGATCGTGAGATACTTCCCGGCCTGATTCCAGTACTTCTGCACTGAGGTACCGAACTTGATGATGAAGTTAGTGTCGAGAGCTGTCACAGAAGTCGCTGCAGACTGAGTGGTCGCATGAGCAGGATAGCTACCATCGATGGTGACAGCAGTGCTCTGCACAGCAGCCGTGAAGTAGTACTCGAAACCAGCACCACCGGTGGGGCTAGTGCTAGAGTCACTATAGGTAGCGGACGCAGGATCTGGCATACTACCACTGTAAATAGTGTTGCCGTGACGATCGAAGACGCTTCCCTCAGGAATGAAGACAGTGATGTCACTGCCATCAGCTGCAGCAGCCATAGTACTCAAAGTACTGAGACCCTTGATGCTCAGAGTATTGCCTCTGATCTCGGTATAAGCGTTAGCATCACAAGAGCTAGGCGACAAGTACTCGCTCTGACCGATGGTGCTCTTCGCATTATCACCAATGCGCAAGTAGGAAGCCGAAGCACCGGCGCCAACAATAGGACGCGGCACAGTGTCAGCTGAGACACCGACCTTCTGGCAGCAACCACGACCAAGAGGACCACTCTGAGTGACGTTACATACGGCAACGTAAGTGCCACCAGCGGTCGTCGCAGCAGAAGCAGTACCAACGGTAGAAGAGCACCGCGAAGTACCACGGCAGACCCAGACGAGACGACTAGGCATGAACTTCTTGCCATCGTGGAGCATCTCGCTGAAGCGGATAACGACGTCATCCTCGATGCTGCGCTTCTGCTTCCAGTGAGGGGAAGCACCAATGACGGTAGGACGAGCAGCGTACTGAGTAGCAGCGTCACCAGAGCCAATGTAATGCTCGTTCGCAGCAGCGTAGTTGCTATCGAAGTAGTCCAACCTGCCCGGATAAGAGGTGTACCAGTCATTCTGGAATACGGTAGCAGTCGAAGAGACAGAGTCGTTACGACCGCCGATGATGTGAAGCGTATCGTCACCAGTCTGCACAAGGCAAGAGTCAGTGCGTGGGGCGAAAGTGTAAGCGGCACCAGTCTTTCCAACACCATCCGAAGCGACGTTTGCCGTGAGCTGCTCGAAGGTGTCACCACCATCACGAGACCTCCACACATCAGAGTAAGGGACACCAGCAGAGGTACTGCCGCCAATGAGAATCAGATCACCTTGACCGTTAGCGAACATGCGGCCGCCATGTCTGTCCCTGACCTGATCGGCAACCTTGCCACCTTGTTCCCAGTAAGAACAATCAGCGGAAGCACACTTCCAGCACTTCTCGAGGCCACCACCGCAGACCACGAGCTTCCAAGCGCCGACAACACCAGCAGCAGAACTCTCGAAACCAGAGTAAGGGAACTCCGGACCGAGCTGCCAGATGCCATCGACCTCACTCGGGATAGTGCTAACTGTGAAGCCTTCCGCACCAATAGCGGTGAAGGAAGCGCCCATATCAGCACTCCTCACAATGCCGCTAGCACCAGTAGCACTGCCGACCACGTAGAGGTAGTCGCGAGTGCAAAGGATCTGAGGATTCTTGCGGGACATGCCAGCAACATTATCACAGTTCCAGGTGATACCGTGGTCGTAGGACTTGCAGACCTCGCCGACAGCGCCACCAGTAGAGGTACCACCAATACGGAAGAGAGTACCATTGCAGTATCCAGAGCCTGTCTCAGCACGTTGATAATCAGCACTTCCACCAGGGGCGGGAGTCTCCGCAGCGTAAGCGTCAAAGAGACCGTTCATATACTTAGTGCCAACTTCCTCCCTGAAGATGGGCTTGAGAGCATTAGGCCAGTCGGAGGCCTCCGGCACAATGTTGGAGAACTCCATCTGCACTCGGTAGTCGGTTTGAGCTGAGAGAGCACTTGCGAGCTTGCCGCTAGTACTGGCAACCGCCGAGGCATCATAACCGAGGGCCGGTTGGCCATGCCTCTGGGAACCATCACGCCATACGAAGACGCGAGAGCCCTCGAAGCGAGTATGGCCAAGGTAGTTCTGAGAGCTAACAGCAGTTGACGAAGGAACAGCAGGATCGGAGTCGGCGAGGACCTCAACCTTGGTAGAAGCTCCAGATGCGGCGCTAGTCATACCGAAGTAGAACTTGCCGGAACCGGGCTTCACATTCTTGTCGAACATATACCAGTGGTTGCCATCGACGTTCATCACATCGTTAACGCTCATATCGTGCTGGTCACGAGGGAAGACGTCGAGTAGACGGGGCTCTTCATTACCCGTGAATGGTGCGACAGTGAAGCAGTAGTCGCCGCACTTTAAACCAGAGAAGTAGTTACCAGAAGTGGCATCCTTGATAGCAAAGCTACTGATGATGAGACAGTAGACTCTGTTGTCGTTGTCGAAGCCCTGGGGGAAGACTCGGAGCGTCTTGCCGTCATCACTCAACTGCACAGGGCCATCATGGCGACGAGTATAGTCCTCACCACTGGTGATGATGCCCTGGATCTCAGCAGATTGAGGAGTGACATCGCAGTTGATGATCTTCTTGCCACTCGTTAGGACAGCCGATGCAGGCCTGTTAGCATCATCGTAATAGGGATCATACGATTGCAAGTAGATGCTCGTCTGAAGCGAAGAAGAGCCGGCGACTGAGGAGTCGAGAGCCACGGCGCGATCGAAAGTGACCGACAAGGCTCTGTACTTCTCCACACCAACGGCATTCTGAGCAGGATCGAAAGCCACGGCAGAAGGCTGCGTGAAGTCGAGCTTGGAAGATGCGAGTCTCTGGGTTCTGAACCAATACTTGGCGTAGCCAGTTGCTTCAACAATAGCATCGTTGAGGTTACCAGCAGCATCAGCAACCAAACCAGCCTTCACATTGATGGTGTAGCACTTACCGCTGTTGAGTGCCTTATTATCACTCGCGCTCGAGAACTTCATGTAGAGACGCGTGCGAGGTTCACCACTTGTCGTGGTGTAAGGCTGCACGAAGATATCCTCGTTGTGCTCGCAGACGAGGCTGCCACTGCACTTGCCAACACCCGCGCGGGTCTCAATCGTACCGAAAGAGGCGCATGAGCTGGCATCACAGCAGTGCTGGAAATTGGCAAGAGCGTCGGGACCCGACTGTCGACTCTTCATGTCAATATCGCAGACCTTAGTGTTGCACTCGTAGAGCTCGACGTCACTGGAGGCAGTAGAGCCGGCAAGAGTACTGGAATTGTCGTAGAAGTCAAGGAACATCATAGTCGCTGGATGAGCAGCGAGTGTACCATTCGCGGGGAAGGTCTCTCTCAACACCGGAGGAGTTATATCGACCTGCTCGACAGCCTCATACGAAGCCATCTTAAGCTTGAAGCACTGTGAGATACCAATGTGAGAATGGCCATCCTTGTGCCAGTAGATCCACTTGGGCTTCACCTCATCACTGATACCAAGGTTCTGCCAAGCAGCCATGGGACTAGTGGCAGCGGTACCAGCCGGGTTGGCATTAGGGTAGGTGCCACGCTTCATACCGCCATCAGTGAAGAGTGCACCATTGGCGATACCGAGAGAGTACTGAAGACCATTATGGCGGAGGTTGGACGCACCGCTCAACTGGAAGCTAAGATAGTAGCCATTGGTCAACTGGATACCGGAGCTACCAATCTCATAAACAGCGTCGCCATCATCGCCGTTATTGGGAGTGCCAACAGTGCGGTTGAGATGGACAGCGTAGTAGTTGTTCTCGGTGTTAGCCTGTACCTTCTCCGGGAAGAAGATCCACACGTACTTGTCAGTGGTGACACCAGAGGTGACCTTGGACGTACTAAGAGCAGTAGTGCCAGGGTCAGTAGCACTGGAGGAGAGAGTGGCAACCAAGTTCTCGCAAGAAGGTAACAATATGTAGCCCTTGATAGAATCGATGTTGTTGATGTAGTCGGCAGTATTAATGTTAGCAGAATCATCATAAGCCTTGTCAATGATAGCGTAGTTATCCTGGGCAGAACCAGTGACACCAGACTTGAGGTACTGGGTGGCCAGTATCGATTCACCGAGAGGTGAATAGATACGTCTATCCTCAGACGCAGTAGACACCACAAATTCGACGAACTGCCTCTTGTAGTTGGGAACGCTACCGATGAACTGTCCGTTCGGGTTGATGTTGCCACCGTAGGTATACTCAGACGACATCTTCACCATCTTGGCGGGCACCGTGACACGGTACTTGTGGCCAGGGATGAAGGCAAGTGGGGTGGCTCCACCAGGGTTGAGATAGATAGAGTCGTAACCATAGACAACTTCCAACTTCGAAGTCTCGGTCCTGGAGTAACCAGCAGCGCTACCGAAGGTGACATTAGTGGTGGCACCACCAATCTTGAGCCCAGAGTTGCACTGATGATCAGGGCCACAGTCCTGGATCTCGATCTTCGTGGCCGCTGACCAGTCAACCTCAGTGAGACCAGCAGCATCAGTCTGATCGGGGGAGAGGTAGGGCACGATGGGCCTATTGAAGCGTAGAAGCACACGATCGTTCGGATAGAAACTCGCCTCCATATTGCCAATGTTACTAGAAGAAGGAGCAGCACTCCTAGAAGGAGCAGAGCTCTGACTGTAGATATGGAGATCAGGCCAGCCATGAGCGTTGGTACGGGCACCAGAGAAGACAGAGCCAGAAGTGGCGATGTCGAAACCGTTGATCTGCAAGGTGTTACTAGCCGTGGCGTAGACCTTATCAGCGGTGTTCCAGTCATTCGCGTTGTCACAGTTCCAGCACTGTTCTTGCTGTAAATCGCTACCAGTAGTAAACCTCAACTTGTAAGACTTATAGGACGAAGTCCTGTTGTGTCTGTTGAGGGAGGTGTCCAGCCAAGTACGAAGAGTATCATCAGTGGCAACATCAGAAGGAACACCCTCAATAGTGAGCGGCATACGGTTGGAAGAGCCATCGGCGCAGTAAGACTGATCCATAGGCAAAAGTAGACTGGGGTCGCAGTACTCAATGAGAGTCTGGTTGCCGTTGAAGGACAGATCAAGCTTGTTACCAGAGTAATCTCTAATCCACTTATGATCCAAGTAGAACGTGTAGTTGGTACCGGGGTCGAGATCTTCAGCAGTGGTAACGACCATAGAATGGTGCTTGATCGTGCAGTCAAGGGCCTTACCATCGCGGACACGGTCAGGAGTCTCCGCTCCGGCAGCACCAGCAGGATCACCAATGAGCCCGTCGTTCTTGAGCGTGCACGCACCAGAGCTGGCGCTGAAGTAGCGAGAGCGGCTGTCACTGAACATGATGGGCTCACTGAAGACGCACTTGAACTTGAATGCACCGCTCTTAGTGGTGATGTTCTGGGACTGAGAGTTGAACGAATAGCCGTTGTCACACTGGTCCTTGGCGAACTTAGTCGGCTCACGGGACACAACGCAGCAGTACAGCACAGTGGGAGGAATAATATCCTCATCCTCAGTTGAGAAGGAGTAAGACTGAGCCACGTCGGTGCTGGTAGTCCGGACATAAGCATCAGCACGAGGGAAACCACGGAAGACTTCCTCGCCATTGCTATCATAAAGAAGACCATCAGGAATGGTCAACGTGTAGTCACGACCACCCTTGAACTGATCGACATATTGGTCGAGATCGAAATAAGGCTTCTGGTGAGTGTGGTACAAAGTACAGATGAGACCCGTACAGTAAGCGCTAGTAGTGTGGTTGACCAGCTCGTAGGCGGCAGTATAGCTCTGGCCAGTGGCATCCTGGTTGAATGTAGGCTTGAGGGTGTGGAATTCATCCTCAGGCATGCCAGTCTCATAGGGGATAGGCCTGTTGAGGTTATCGGCGTGGAGCATGGCAGTGTTGAACCAGATCTTTGGGCGGACACTGCGAGGAACCATAGTAGCACCATCAGCAGGATCGAGCTTAGCCTTAACGATTTGAGGTTCATGAGAGCGAATATACCACGGAGTAATCCTGGATCCAATCAACGACGAGCTATCAGCCTGAGGCTCACCACTGGACTTGAGGGTAAGACCAGTATGCTTCACGTTGGCAGTCTTGGTGGCATCACCAGTATTCGTGAAGGACTGATTAGCATAGAAGACCTCGTCGTCAATAACCATGGTGTACTTGTGGCTGTGGGTGAAGTTGACGTACCACGGAGTGGAAACGACAACCATGTCCACGAGAAGGTTGAGGCCGATAGAGTTGTTCATGGAGATGTAGACGGGGTTCGTATCAGCGACACACTGGGAATTGCCAGATAGGGAGTTCTTGCACCTACCATCGGCAGTAACCTCATAAACCAAGGTGGCAGGAGCATTGTCAGCAGTCTTGCCAGTACCAGCAGAGAAGGTTCCGAGGAACTTGCTGCTCTGAGTGTAAGTGTTATCAGAGGCCCAGTTACCAGAAGCCGTCTTGGAAGCAGAATCCTCATTACAGTTTGGCTCGTTAACGATGGTGCCATACATACGCACGTACTCACCGCAGTCGTAGATCTTGATGGACTTCGTCGAGAGCTGGGACAGCTGAACTGCATCGGACATGATCAAACCCACAGAGAAGCCTTGGTTGGCATGACCGGTGATGACCTGCTGGAATGCTTTGCGAGCAGCCTTGGTCTGCTCACCACGCTGTGCTGGGAGACCGAGAGGATCCATGGGATCGACGTCATAACCGAAACCAGACCTGTAGTCCATACGGAGCCAGTCGTTAGTGACACCGAATGGTCCATCATGATCGACTCTGCTGTCGTTGATAGAGTAGTAGGCGTTCTTCTCACGATAGCTCATTCCATCCGGGTTCATCAAACCGTAGTTCAGACGAGCACCAGGGAGGACCATCAGAACCTCGGGCTTCAAGTCGTAGAGGTTGCCCAAGGCAGGATTGAAGAAACCATAGATGACATGGAACTCATCAACGTAGTTGTCAAGACCAGTCTGGTAGTTGAACGGATTGTCGGGAGACGTGTAGAAGGCAGACTGCGAGTGGTTGTATCCGAGAGAATGACGAGTCATGAGGAAGTTCTCGCCACCAGACTCGTAGTACATACCACCTTGACCCCACCTCATCAATGAATCAGCGTTGGGATCAGAGCTTTTGTTGGTCCAGAATGTGTAGTTGTGGACCTGCCCAACACCAAAGAGACCCTCGGGAGCATAGAAGCCAATGTACTTGGCCCAGGTATCACCCTGACGGTTGGACTGATCGTAGGAACCAGTGTTGTGTTCAGAGATGCGGTTCATCTTAGTAGAGAAGATCATCTTCTTGTTGTCAGCAGATAGAATGGCGAAGTCGGAAAGAGAGACATCCTTCTCACAGAAGTGTACATAAGCAGCCTCGACACCGGAACCCATAACGTGACCAACCTTGTTAGTGTTGTTACAGAACTCACCGATGGTGTTGAAACCGCGAGAGAACTGCTCACCGAACTGCAAGTCACCACTGCCATCAATGTACCAACGATGACCGGCCTGGATGGTTCCGTTCTTAATGGTACCATTGAAGAACACAGCTCGGAGCTGGTTACCAGTAGCCGCACCAGAAAGGTTTCCGCGGCTATAGTGGTTTCCCTCGAAGCTGTTACGCCAGTCGATAGCATTATCACCAGGGCCTTCACGGTGGAGGAGCTTGTGACCCCACTCAGTACCATCACCCGGAGAGAAGGGCTGGAAGGTCACAGGCTGAGTGAACGACCACATAATGTTGGAGGTATTGGTAACAGACGGACCACCATTGGCATCACTAGTCTGTGTGCAAGTGGTGTAGTCAGTACAGTTCTTGTTGTTGGTACCACCGACCACGGGGTATGAGCTAAGACCATCAAAGGCAGCTTCAGCTGTTGGCTGATAGAAAGTGAAGCGATAGTCCACACCAGTCTGATCAGCAATGTTGCCAGCAGCATCCTTGAAAGCACCAGCCTCGCACTTGAGACGGAATACCGATCTGTAGTACGTGTTGCCCTCACGCTTGTAAGCAGTGATAGGAGTGAACTGGAGGAAGAAGAACAGACGATAACGAGTGATAGTCGTTGCGCACGTCTGAGTTCCCGAGAAGTCAGCAGCAGCCGGGGTAGCAGCACTGAGGCAGTAGCTGTAGGAGCCGTTGTACTGGACGAAGTTGGTGTCACCCATAGTGAAGTAGTTGATGTTCTGGAAGGCATCAGTGCTGGACTCAGTAACAGTGGTTCCAGAGCCAGTGTCACCAGTAGTAGTCGAATCTGGCTTGTAGTCGCTCCAAGTCGCCGACTTCAACCAGGTGTAAGATGTAGCATACTGACTCATGATAACATCGGAGTTGTTATCTCTGCAAGCTCCGTACGTAGTGCGAGTGTCCCACTGACAGTCGGGATACTTAAGGACACTGTGGTTCCAACCATAGTCGTAAGCGCTCTCAGCAGTGTAGTTCTGAGCATAGAGATAATAATCCGGGATAGGATTGGTAGGCTTGCGGCCACTCTGATAACCAGTGTAAAGCTCAGAAGTCATGATCCTCGAGGAGTCAGAGTTAGCGGTATCGGTCATAATGGCTTGGCTAACAATGCACTTCTTGTCACCGTCAATAGTGACATCCTCGTCGAACTCCAACATGACCGGGACGGTCTGCTTGATAGCCTTGTTGAAGGGGAACCAGTATCCCTGGGCAACGGCATCAGCAGCGACACCGCGGTCATAACCAGCGCCAGTGGTGTTGGTAGGGATGAGACCAGTGATAGGCCCCTGGAACTCGAAGGTACCGATAGGTTGGGGGTACTCATAGTACGAAGGAGAACCAACGCTTGGCTCCACACCAGCCAAGTTGAAGCAGTGACCCAAGACCTTGCGGCCCTGAGGACCAGTGCTAGAGCTACGACCACAGGGAGAGTAGGTGATGTTGGGAGCATAGACATCGTCGTTGATCTTGATGGGAATCGTGATCACCTTGTCGGCACCCTGAACGAAGTCAGCATGGCCAGAGACCACACCGTTGGCTTCCTTAGCGTTTGTAGCCTCAACAGCCCAATCATAGAAGGCGCAGTGAGGGATCTTCAAGTTCCAAGGAGTAGCCAGAGGAGTAAGCTTCGTGCCAGGGAGCTGTAGGACGAGCTGGTAGGTACGTTGGATGTTGTGAGAACAGAAGCCAGTCTCAGTTCCCGAGGGATAACTAGCAGTACAGGCGGTTCCAGAAGCACCAGTTCCAGATTCGGTGTTGGTCTCAGCCTTCTGGAGGTCGAACAGACGGACGGAGAGCCATTTGGACTGCGCAGCGGCACCACCAGAAGCTGCAGTAATGTCAGGGATAACGGTAAGCTGATTGGTGACGCTCGAGAAAGCGGATTTGCCGACAGACCAGACACCAGCGCTGTGCTCAGAGGTAGTGACTCCATCCAAGTCCCAAATGAACTCAGTGCGGCCGAGCTCGGCACTGGTAGTAGCACCAGCATTGGACAAGGTGATGTCACAAGGACCAAACTTAACCATCTCATCGAAGGTGAGAGTGATGAAGGCGTCCTCAGAGTTGACCTTAGCGTAGTTGAGACTACGGCCACCATAGCCGCCAGCGAGGGCAGTTTGGGTCACACACGGAGGATCAGAGGTAGCAGAGCAACCGGCCTTGGCGTAAGGGGTCACATCCAACAGAACAGGGGAACGTCTGTCGCCGAGCTCAACCTGGAAGAAGGGCGAGATCTGAGTTCCAGCTGGGAGACCTATGATAGCATCTTCGTCAGCTTCCCAGTAGCATCTGGGGGTTGTGCCGTCAGCAGGTACCCAAAGACCATCTTTACCATCACGGGGGTCACGAGGGTCGATGAAGAGCTTGTGACCACGAGGGATGATCTGATCACGATCTTGAGCATTAATCGTAACCTTAGGAGTGGTAAGACCATCAACCTGGCACTTCATATTGAAGTTACCACGACCGAGACGCACTGGTCCATAGAAGGTGGTCATAAAGGTCTGGCTGTAGTGAACATAGCCAGCGTCCTTCATAGCATAGATCGAGGCAAGGGAAGTACGCCAGTTAGTAGTGGAAGCCACATAACAGCAGATTCTCGGGGAGATAGTATCCCGGGAAGCATCACTGGCGGATGATCCCCAGTTGATCGACTGCTTGAGAGTAGTGGTGAAGTGGAAGGTATCAATCTTACTAGAATCCGAAGACACCACGGTGCCGTTGTCGAAGATGACTGTGTAGGTCTCACCAGGCATCAGCGAACGCGGGTTCACAATGAGGTGGTTGTTGCTGTAGAGCAGAGCATCGACGGGATCTCCGTTACCGGCAGAACTAACGGGAATACGGCATGGGCTGCCATACTTACGAGTGCTTGCGGTCCATGACGACGAAGCAGGGTCCTCGTAGACGGTGGCAGTAACAAGGCAGCCAGGATTAGTCGAGTCACTAGTGTGCCACTCGTCAGCGCGCAAGTCGGCGATAGTCTTCTTGTTCCTCTGCAAGTAGCTATGAGGAACAAACTTGACGTAGCCGCCAGAGCCGGCCGTCACGTGACGGTTGTAGTGGACATGAATACCCTGCTTGTAACCAGCAAAACCGTAATAACCGGCCTGACCGGTGAGCGAAGTGGTAGGGATCTGGGTAAAGGCGGATTCCAATGGACCATTGATAGCACCAGCAGTGAGGTCGACCTCCTTGCCTTCCCAAGCAACCCAGAGTGGTCTCGGCTTTTCGGTACCGGCGTCGGTGGCATTAACCCAGAATGAATGAGTGAACTCTCCAGCGAAACCAATGGCTCTCTCCTTCAAGGTGGCCATGACGAAGTTAGGCTGATTGAGCATGCTTGGGGCGGAGGAGCGCAAGGTAGCGGCAGGCTTGCAGCAGATTTGCTTCGCACTAGGAGCTAACCAACAGGGGCCGGAGACTGCGGCGACGTCGATCCCACCAGACACGGCCACACCGGGAGCTTGCTCCTTGCCCGTTCCGAGATAAGAGTAAGCACATCCAGCCCGACCATTAGTGCCGAGCTCGGTACTCGTACAAGTAGTCTTCAAAGCCTCAACGGTACCATACGCACTTGAGAAGTTGGAGACGATCTTGAGCTGAAGATTGACTTCAGAAGGAACAGCGTTGAAACTCCACTCGTTGGTGAAGCACGTAGATGAGCCACAGGTATCCCAGAAGATGGACTCAGCAAAGGTGTAACAGAGCTCAGTATCAGCCGGAGTGCTGCTGAGCGAAACGGCGGCAGCGGCAGCATCGGTTTTAGGAGCACTGCTAACATGAGCAGGGTAGTAGGAGATGGGGGCACCAAGAGGACGGACAAAGCTGATCTGACAGAACTGAGCAGCGTTCTGTAGACCACCAGCCGGCCAGCTGTAGGAAGCATCATCGGTACGCTTCACACGGCATTGATCGGGGAAGCTGCCTTGTTCGCTAGCGAAGTCAGTGAAACGTCGTCCATTGATACCAGGGAAGTAGTTCCCAGCCAAGTCTTGGACAGCGTTACCATCAACGGTGATGTAATATCTCCTGTTTTTGACAGCGGGGGCCGTGGCCTCGATCGCTGAGGAGATAGTAGCGGAAACTGCGGGAGTAACGCAGCTTGAGGCGATGGGGTCGAAGACACCAGCGCTTGAGTAAGCAAGGAAGCAGACCTTACCAGTACCAATCATAACAGGCTCGTTGAAGTAGAGCTTGACCTTGGTACCAGTGAAGAAGCTGTCCACATATTCGACGCCATTATCCGCCAGATAGCCACTAGGACTAGCAAGCATCAAAGTAGGCGCCCAGACATCAGGGTAGGTAGCATTGTTCATGCAGCCAGCAACAGAGTTCGCCATTCCAGAAGCGGAAGAAGTTCGGCAAACTGGGGTGTTCTGACCGTTGTACTGCCTGACACCTCCCGTATAGGAGACTGCCCAGCAAGCACCAGAAGAGGATATAAGGCCACAGCTAGATGCGAAAGAGGAGTACTGCACTGCTGCATTGTCCTCTACACAGTTAGCGTCAATAGAGACCTTCAAGCTATATGAGCCCGCATCCTTAGAGGGGAAGGTGAAGAGCGCATGTGAAAAGCCAACAGTTCCGTCGGGGTAACGGACCCATGTGTTGGCTAGTTGGTCGCAAGTAATGGAAGCTTTGAAGCCAGTGGTCGTGCCCGGCACCTGGCCAATTTGCGCCGGATCAGTCAATATCGTGATCGACGCTGATGCATTAAAAGTAGGGTTTGTTGTCGTCGCAGGGATCTCCGACACAATAGTAGCACCCAAGTAACACTTGTTGTCAGCAGATACACAAGGGCTTCCCTCAACAGCACGCACTTGCACAAAGGCCGCAGCATCTAACAAGGAACACAGCATAAGCAGTAGAGCCAATGACTGCTGCATGATAGACGTGATGGGGACTCAAAGCTTACCCGCTATCGGAAGAGTGGCCGCTAATGATCCAATTGCTAGTTTGGAAAGGACTGAGGTTGCCCTGGAATACCGGCGACGAGCTGAGCGCACTACACCCTCTGAGGGTGGTGAAAATCGCTCCGATTCAACACTAGACGTTCGCATAGCCCTCTACAAGGAAGGTGCAAACTGGACAAGGCAGATGAAACCATAGGACTGATGCCCAACTCCCTTTCATTGACAACACGGACAACGACCGACATTACGGGGGAAACAAACATCACAACAACAAGAAGCGGCAATTCGGGTTATTCTGCATTTACAACCGACAAACAGCTTGAAACGTCAACAGGCCAGTCGACTCCGCAGATCTTCTCAAAGCACGGGGGGGGGATCTCGAGGGAAAACTTGTCGGTTGAGATACAAAGCGCCGACTCGGACGACAGCCCTCTCTGAGAGGGCCTCTCAGGGAGCAATGCCAGAAAGGGGCCTTGAGTCGCAGGTAGGAGGAATTCGCCTAAAGGAATGCACGTACAATCGAGCAACTTATGTGAAATAACAGCCAAGATTGGAAAGCAGCAAGGAAAATACCAAACCGTTACAGACAATCAGATGACGAACGAGTACGGCGAACAGTCGACGTCTGTGGTACCCCCAGCCGTAGGGGACCCCAGAAGAACAAAACAACGGTGTAAGAGCATCAGTAGTCGCGCCCAAGCCCCTTAAGAATGGTCATCCACCAATAACGCTTCACAACATTAAACGACGAGCGACATGGAAGATGCGCATCCCGCTCGAAGAATCGCAAGATTGCAAGATACCAAACGTATCTTGCGCGCGCCCAATATTCTGTGTGCGCGTCTGGTGGTCGCACGACGTGTCTTCCGAGTCTGTAAGTCCAGCATTATTCAGTCGGTGTCACCGTCCAAACCGGCAACCTCGTATTTGTGCGTCTTGACTATGCTTCCTCGTCGTCAGCGTAGACTTATCTTACCAACGAATGTGTTGCGCAATGAGTAGCCACAATAGCTGAGAGGGTAACAATGGGGCATCCCAAACAGTATGAATCGTAGGGCTGATGACTACCCAGGGCGGCGGGTGGCCAACCAAACTGAGTTAACGGCTAAGCTCAGGGATCTGCTCGCTGTCAAGACAGGTTGGACCAGTTGTGGTGAGGGGGAGGACAGATGGGTATCCTCTGTCAGCGACCACACCGAGCCGACAACGGCCTTGGACTGCCTACCAAGGGGGTGAGGTGGTAGTACCCTCAACAAGGTATTTCACCAAACCGGCGGATAGGGAGCGACAGCCCCCGTTCGAGTAAGTGTAACCAACAACCAATGTGACCGTCACCATCAGGTTCCTACCACATGTGGCCGTCCAAAAACGTGTCGTATCCGCCGTTTCGAACCATCTTGCTACTGCAACTGAGCTAGTGATGCTTTCTGACCAACAGTATCAGCATCATGCGGTCCTTGTAGATATCAGCCCAGCGCGATCGCGATGCTCTCGAGTCGCAGTGGCGGTCGCAACAAGTCGGTAAGGACCCCAATATAGCACAGCTAGAGGTAGGGGGGAGATCCACTGCGCTGTTGGTAACTGTACAAACTCAGGAGGATAGAATGCAGCTCATGACGACTAATGAAAAGCTTACGAGAGATATAAGACAGGAAAAGTTAAAGTTGATGAGGTTACCCGAGATGGAAAAGTTACCGAGCGGTGAAAGTGGCCCGCCCTTAATCGACGAGACTCCATCCTTTCACACACCATTGGCAGCCTCGGACAAGGAGAACGATGTTGATGATGACAATGCTGATCGAACACGTTTGTCCAACCTGTCAGAACTCACTCTGGTAAGCGTCCTGTCATCATTTCCAGTGACAGTATTCTCGTCAGACCCCGGACGAGAGTCCCTCAACAGATCCTCGAACTCCCCCACCAGCGCCCGCCCAGTCCCGTAGGAGTCTGCCTGGTGGAGTAGACTTGAAGTTGGCATTTGATCCATCACCCCGACCCAAGGAGCCGCTGCCTCAGCCCAGCTACGCACTCAATACCACCTTCATTGCTTTCAACAAACTTAACACTGGGTAACCGGCCCTAGTCGACTAGGCCTGCCGTCGCCGCCGCCGCCGCCAAACATATCAAATTGCAGGCTCAACCGTGATCAGTATGTAGGGGCCGTCTCGGAGAATCCCCCAAGTGTCGCCATGTACGATAACACGGCCTTTGGGGACACTCCGACAATCATCAGTAATGACACTGTCGTGTCCAACGTAGAGGACGATAGTGACGAGGTAGTAGTAGTCTTTGGCCACAAGGGAAGAAGATTCGTATGCTCTCAGATAGCTGAGGACCTCGCCTGGCTTCGGACAATCCATGAGGATCTCCGTACCAGTGAGGTTCTATGTAGTTGTATCGTCTATCAGGAATTCTTCAGAATACGAAGAAGGTCTCGGTGAGGGTGGAGCTCAACTCGAACGACCGTCCACCGATGTGGATATTCTCAAGGCCACTGCCCGTCTGCTCCTCACTGACTGTCCAACGTCAATTCTCTCATCTCCCTCACCCTATGCTGCCATCGTCAGGTTCCTCGGCAAAGGTAAGCACCTCTTTGTATACACTCTCGAGTCATTACGTTTCAGTGCCACAAGGCGTTACCTTTCCTGGGGCGCCATCTGATGAGGTTTCACCGGATGATATTTCTAATTCGCCACGGTCATAATCATTTCCCTTACTCTGTCGTTGCTGCGTTTAATAGTATGTCAACAACGCAATCAACAGCGGGAAAGGAGAAAACACGAATAACATTATGTCGTTACAAATGTCATCGGCGAATACCACTACCGATAAAACTGAATGCTGATGATTTACCCGACTGCTGACCAACACTCGTAAAATTCGAACATTTCCCATCCATACACGGCCCGCCAGCAGCCTGAGCCGCGGCCTTGGCGGCCGCCTCAGTGAATATATCGTCAAGTTGCTGACCACCCATAGTGTAGCCACCTGCCGAGTGGGTCTGTTGGGTACCGTTGGCTTGTATGCTACCCACAGCTAAGTCGGGCAGGAGTGAAGACGCTTGCTGGACGGGAAGAATCCCAGATGCCGACTGCTCTCCGAGAAGATTATCACCGACTGTTTGGTAGCCTGGGAGGAGCTGCCTGTTCTTGTCTCCTGCGGCTATCGATCCACCCAGGTTCAATCCCGACAGATCGACCTCCTTTGCATTCGAATTAACAGGGGCGTCGAGGAAATCAGCTTCCCCAAGTAAAAGCAAATCGTCGCCACCAGCATTGTCCACCACGGCCGCTTCGACCGGCTTCTCCACAGCGCTATCCCCACCGCCAAGGTCAAGCAGGTCCGGCATCGACTGCTTGGGAGCAGCCACTGGACCATGACCATTGGCCCCATGCAGGGCTCGGGACACTCGAGCCGCTGTAGCACGGCAGATTTGGGGTAGAGCTTGGGGATCAGAAACACAATCAGTACAGACATCCCGTACCTAGGGATAATTTCGTGGCGCAGTGACGATGTTCATCCGCACTATTACCTCCTCTCTGTCAGCAAGGCCTTCCACAGCCCTCAGAGCTCGCAGCCGGGCTTGTGGGTGACCCTTAGTGATACGATCGCCCAACTCGGATGCTATCTCTGTTATACCGTATTCAGATGATTCCCCTTGGACCCTCTTTAGGAAGACCTAAAGGCACACCAACCATAAGGACCTCAAGGCAGACACGACCCTACCCCGACAGCGACCGAACCACTGGTCAGTTGGCTGACAAGTCGGTACTCAGGTGTCCGATGGTGTTGCTCACTAGGAGCCGCTACTGTCATCTGCACCCTCTCGCTGGCCTAAGTGGAGCATCCCACCGCCCTTAGGGAAGACCTCCCCACCTTATCAACTGCTGGAGGAGGTACCCACATGCCCCTATCCGAATAATGGTTATACTCCTGACCACCCGGGTAGCCGTACCCTGGAGTCTGCCTACCAAAATACCAATTACCTAATGTGTGCATACTCTCCCACCTCACCCATATCCTGCATACTGCGCAGAGGCCCCAGGAGTACCCCCGTGCCACCTCTGGTACGCTGATGATAAAACACTGGCAGCACTGGCAGCCGCCTGGCCGACCTTGCTAGCGATGGTGTTGGTCGCTGAGGCCTAAGGGGGAGGTATGAAGACCGGACTAATCCTAAGGAACCCTACCGGTTGAGTATTATTGTAATCGTTGAATTCGGGATTACCAAAACCCTGCATGCGACCGGTACTCACTGGTGGGCCAGGATACACACCACCTGTTCCAAACACACTGCCATATCTAACGAAATCACTTATCTTCACCTGGGTACGGTATTGGCTGTTGCTGCTGCGGAGGTGGTGGTGGTGATGCTCCCCATGAATTCAGAGGAGGTGGGCCGCCCCCTGTAGTAGAGCCAAACCCCTACTAACAGTGATTATAGTACCTATACCACACCGTACTACCTTAATCCTGTCATGCAGACCAGAATAGGGAGCAGTAGCTTGCCGAGACTCCTGTGAGCCGACAGAGACGGCGGCCTCATTGAATATTATTTTCAACGCTGCCTCGGCCTCTTCTCGAACTGCTTTACTCGGAGCATCACCTCTCAGTGGGTCGACAGGCCCTCGGTACATCCGACATGACTTCACCACATCTGCTCGTCTGAGGATATTCTTAATACCGTAACTCCTCCAAATCCTGTCCCTCACCGTTGTATCCTCTTCCTGAAGTCTATACAGGCCTGCACTTGTGCATCGGGGTCCAGGACATTCCTAACCCACTACTACCTCCCACATGGTCACCATCACTACCGAATTATCCTCAAACACTTGAACTTGACGTTGGCATCGTCTTTGGTGGTTATCTTATTACATAGGTAGTCCTCCAGCTGATGCGATCCATTGGGTGCGTATGTCATCTCTGAATGAAGCGAGTTATATGCGATTAAGATGGAGATGGTGCGGTATGTTACTGGCGATTTCGAGGTACATGTAGCCTGGTGTTGGCTGGGCATCTGCTGCAGTGGCCCGATTGAGGAGGCCTCGGTCCATTAAAACAGTCAAGGGGAATACTTTGGGGTTATGGACTTGACTTATCCTCAACGCCAGTTCAGAATTGGAAAATATGCACATGTGTTGGTGAAAATTTTCGTAAGAAATTCTGGAAATTTCTTATTGGTCTCTGTACACTTCTACCCAAATTCGTATATAAACTCCTCTAATAAGTGAAGAAACTCCTGAGCTCAGCTGAGCAAAGCCAACATATATTCCAACACTGGCATTGGGCCTGTTTCATAGGAGCAAATTGCGCCTTAAACTTAAGTAACGCCTTAAGTATACCTCAAGTAATTAGGACATCCTATTTCACTACACAAGTAAGCACGATAAGACGCCTTAAGTTTAAGAATACTCAAGGCGCCTTAAATGAAGTATCCTTGTGATACAGGCCCATTGGTCTGAGGATGACGGCCACCTTGAATTTCGTGGCGCGTGACGCAATTTCTCCTCCTCGTGCCGTCTCCTCCGGCAATCCTTCCCAGCTGCTATGGGTGAGCGTGGAGAGCAGATAGTATCGGGTGTTAACCATATAGGGGCAGAGGAGGCCACCTTCCCCATCGTCTGTGAGACCTGTCTTGGTACTACACCCTCCTATACTGTACATTGTAGTAGTAGTCGACTACTACCTCAGGTGACAACCCATATGTTAGAATGCAGAAGGAACCCATGGGTGATGAATGTAAGATATGTGAGAGGCCCTATACTATGTTCCGATGGAAAGCTGGCTCCAAGGGGAGGTAGTAGTAGTAGTAGTAGTAGTAGTAGTAGTAGTAGTAGTAGTAGTAGTAGTAGCAGCAGCAGTAGTAGTAGTAGTAGTAGTAGTAGTAGTAGTAGTAGTAGTAGTAGTAGTAGTAATGGTAGTATAACGAAGTAGAAGTGAATACGGTGCTGATGCTGATGATCAGCATGCAGGTATAAGCAGACCGTACTTTGCCAAAACTGTGCTAGGATGAAAAACGTCTGTCAAGTTTGCATCTTCGACCTGGACTTCGGGCTCCCAGTGCAAGTTCGAGATAAGGTAAGCTCGGCTTGTCGTCGGTCATCCAGGAGTTTGACCATAGTTTTTTGTCAGTTCCTGTCAGAGGCTGAGAAGTTAAGTCTACCCGAGTCTACTGTTGGCCGGGACTACCAGGCCCTTAACAATTCTCAAAACGCCAATCCAGCATTGACCTATGGCAAGCTAAAGCATCACTCTATGCTGCAGAAGGTACTCTTGCCTCCTCAGCTTCGGTAGTCATCTCAAGCTGCTCATTTCAGTTGGCCCGGACCGCACCGTACTACGAACGGAACCAGGCTAGGATATGCTCCTTCTTTGTTAAAGGCACATGCAATCGCGGGGATGAATGCCCGTATGACCATTGCTGCCCATCTGGAGGCCCATCGTTATCACTGTCTCTTAGGTATCGTCATGAGATGCCTAAGCCTGAGGGAAATGATCTGAACGATCAGAATATACGGGACAGGTCAGAAAGGGGGGAATGTTCTCTCAAGATTTGGTGTGTGCGATTGAATATTACTTCTCAGATATCACGGCACTGATGACCCCGTGGCTAAGAAGATACTCAAACAGGCAGCAGAGAAGTTCCAGTTGGAGGCACCAGAGGACACCTCCATCACTACTCTTTATATTGGTACTATAACGCTTGGGGAGGCTTCGGTCGTTACCAGGAATCAAAGTTTGGTAGGTGGGATCGATCCGAATGCGCAGATCGGGGAGAGCAACATTCGTGCGGAATTCGAAGAGTTCGGACAAATAGACTCCATCGTCCTCGTTGAGAAATCAAACTGTAAGCAGTGAACAAGGTAGATTCCTCTATTCTTGGAAATCCCAGGCGCGTTTGTCGAGTTCACCAGCCGTCAGTCTGCCGAGAAAGCCGCTGCGGAGAAGGGCGGCAGCAATCTGGTTATAAATGGGGCTGTAAGTGTTCTAGATGTCCGTATGCCTCATAATAGTTTTTATATCACAGCGCCTTCGGGTCTCGTGGGCTAAGCCGAAAACCGGAGGACTCTCGGCTGGCTCATCAGCTTTAGTAAAGGCCGCCGCTGAGGGATCTGCCATCAAACAGTAGTACAGGAAGGGGCTGTGTCGTCACAGCGCGTGATTGTTGAGCGTTTAGGACGGTGCTGGCACCAGCTGGATCTGGGGTGTATCCGAGTATGAACCCGATGGTACACGGCAATGCCCCGATCCCTACAGCCACTCCTGAGCAACGAGCACGTCAGGACAAGAAATAGTCGAGGAGGAGAAACCCCTCCCTATCCAAAGACCATTACAGTACATAGTCTTAATTCTGTATCTTTAGCGATGTGGTTTATTGTTCGTCAAAGTATCGGGGAGGTTCGAACTTGATTATTGCGCCATATTGATCACCAGTGATGAGTTACAGCTCGTGTGAGTTTTCCGATATTCCTATTCGGCGGCGTGGCAGCATTGGCGGTTCATCCGCAGAGTCAATTTGTGTGGAGTTGGACAACTGAGGATGTGTGATCTTCGGGCTAATGCCGACACGCAGACTCAGTATGCAGACTAGTTGGAGAGTGCATCTGGCTTTCTCACTGTCCCTTTGGTTGAGGCGAAGGCGTCGGGCTCTGACGCCAGTCCGACAGCACAGTCTTCGGTTGTCGGAGATTGTTCTGTCGGAACCAGACCGCGAAGTTTTTTTTTCTGTGCGCAGAAAGGTGCGAGTCATAGCAAAGAGGAACCGGGATTTGGATAAATTCCGACGTGTGGATTTCAATACCGTTCGCGTGGGTGGGAACGACGACTAGAGCCCCTAACCAGCTAGATTTTATCGGACGATGTATGTATTAACGATGAACTCATTTCGTTGAGGACAATCATCGCACTTACTGAAATACTGGAACCGAGAATCGAACTCGGGACCTACTGCGTGTTAGGCAGTCGTCATAACCAACTAGACCATTCCAGCGTGTTGAAAAACAAGATACAGTCGACGCTTAGTTCTAGCGGTTCAAGCTGGTTTCGCCCTAGCGACATTCGCAGACGATCATGGACCGTAAGCATCTCAATTTACAAGTGAATGTACTGCAATATCATGTCATTGTGGAATCTGTGGTTGTTGAGTCAACTTAAATCCTAACTACCACCTTTCATAGGAAATGGCACGCCCTGCTTTCTATGCAAAACACACTGCCAGCACTAACGTGTAGAATAGACCAGCAACAAATTAATCGACACGCAGTCCAGCAGAATAGCAGTGATTTGATGATTCAAACGCTACAATCGGGTTTCGACAGCCCCCCCCCCCGGCACCAGAGCCCGGCTTAGACATCTGATGATCCAGGGAATAGCAGTGAAATGCCTCCTTAATTCATCACTAACGCCTTGATCTACAAATATTCTCAACGCCCTACATATCCTGGATTCGGAGCCGACTACCAGCATTTCAATGACTTCGACCCCAACTACATGAGTAACAATGCAAAGACCGGTTTCCCAAGTTACTGAAGACTAAATCAAACAGAGTAGTGAAACTGTAGAAGTGACGTTGGTGAGTGGAATCATAGCAACAGAAGTCGGCTGAGAGGCGGTCATCGATGCGCCTTCTTCCTAAACCGAGGACATCTAATACTTCATAAAGTACTGCGGAGTTTTCCTATTACTTTTTAGATCCGCCACTTTGTGCTTTCTCTTCCTTCCGAGCGGTTTCATGTAAGGTCTGCCCCCATCCAGCAGCCTTCTTTTTATCGACCTTCACTGTACCAGTAGACGTGGTCTCCCCCTTCAAAAGACGACCGATAACTGCGAGATTCTTCGACTTCTCCTCATTGATAGGAGTCTAACAAACGAGCCCATCGCAAAGGCTGATACCCGTAGTGGAGCCCTACGGCAGTGTCAACCTTCCGGCGCTTGGTGACCGGCACTTCCCTCTCGTTCTTCTGGCGCTTATCAAACCTATAACTCCAGCCCTCGACTAGTCAAAGACGAATACCATCTCACTTGCCACTAGATGCTGAGCTCTTCTGAGCTCGGGCTAAGCTCTCCTTCAGATTGATCGTACCACGCTTGATTGAACCCAGTTCAGGGCCACCAGAGATACCTTACGAATGGTGAGGGGAACATTGGTCGACTACATGTGTTGATGACGGTGGAGAATTTTTGAGGAAATTGCAGGGAATCCTAGTTGATTTTCGTATAAGCGTCTGTAATAAGTGAAGACTCTCGTGAGCTCAGCTGAGGAAAGCCAAAATATATTCCCACACTGTACGAGACTAACACTGAGGGCGGCGTTGGACCAGAGGAGCGTACCGGCTGGCATCTTCTTTCCAACTCCCTCGAGCTTATTCCTCATCTCGCGAACCTTCTGTTTCGCGTGGCCAAGCTTTTCAATCGCCTTCTGTTTGGCGAAAGGATCCTCATACCTTATAGAAATACCCCTCCCAGGAATCGAACCCACAACCATCCGCATACGGATTGTCTCCACGATCCTCATTAACCTCCACCAGCCAATTCATCTTCTCTTGATTATGCTTGATAGAGTTAGGACCCCACCTGAACAGGCCTCATCTTTCCAGTACTCCTTTACCGTAAATGCCTCACCTCGGCACCCAGTCCTTAGAAGTCTCATCCCACACCATTCTACTGCGCTTCTTCTTATCGTCCAGACCCTTATCCTTCGCAAACTTCTCCCACCTGAGCGATTGATGGTATCAAAAAGTTCGAAAGCCCATGTACCTAGTCATCGGCTTAGGTTTCGGAAGAGGCTTCTCACGAGGAAGTCGGACAACCAAACCATCAGGCTGACGAGCCAGCTGAGTCGCCTGAGCAAAACCGTCACGCGCCATGAAATTGATAACTGCTCTGCTAACCTCTGGCAGAGTGGCGAAGACGGGCCCTTCAGCGATGCCAGCAGACTCAGTCCGGAGATCAAAGATGCGATTGATCAATAATTGGGTATTGTCCCGAGCTGAGCGAGAAAACGTAAATTCCGACCCGTCCAGTTTCAGTGTACTACCGATTTCCTCAATATCATCCTTCTTAGCATCGATATGGTCGATGTCAAAAGCTGCAAGGTCGCACAACTGGTAAGAGAGGTTATCCTCCTTAGAAGGGTAAGGGGATCGGAGGGTAGAGGTAGACATTATAGCACAGTATATCCCCTACAGCGTATCAACTAGTATTCACACTACAGTAGCATGTTGACATCGCATTGTGAGCCCCGATTTGGTATGGTGTGGGATATGGAGGTCCTCGACAGGCCCTACCTCGCTGTTTTCGAAGGGGTGCTATGTGTAGGAGGGAGCGCATCGTACTTAGTAGTATTACCCCCGTATACTCCGCTCTAGATGACTACTTTCTCCACCAAGCCGTATCTTGTTCTA